TACAAATGATAAGATTTCATTCTTTTTGATGGCTGAGTAATATTCCGTTATATATATATATATATATATATATATATATATATATATATATACACACACACACACACATATATACATACACACATATATATACATATATGTATATATGCATATATATATCGTATCTTATCCATTCATTTGCAGTGGGTATTTGGGGTCTCTCCATAGTTTGGGTATTAAACACATTCTGCTTAAGAAAGTAAAATGTTGCATATATGGTTAAAGTTGGTTTATATGAAATTTGCCAAGTCTGTACATACTCTTTTTCTTGTGCACACACTGTGTGTTTCTGTGTTTCTGTCTTGTGTGTGTCTGTCTCTATTGCTCTGTCTCTGTGTCTCTGTGTGTCTGTTTCTGCGTGTCTCTCTGTGTCTCTGTGTCTCACTGCATGTCTCTGTGTGGGTCTGTCTCTGTAGGTCTTTCTGCGTGTGTCTCTTTGTATGTCTTTGTCCTCTGTGTCTCTCTCTGCATGTGTCTCTTTACGTCTCTGTGTGTCTGTCTCTGTCTCTAGGTTTGTCTGCATGTGTCTCTGTATGTGTCCGCATCTCTGTCTCTGTGTGCAGGAGGAAATGACCACCAACTGCTCACTGAAAGTCACCACGTGTCTAATGGGTTCTGTGCAGTTATAGACCTTGGGGCTCTCGTGTCCTCCCAGGTTAGAGCGGGCCCTGATGAGCCCCTGGGAAAAAATGACTTTGATGTAAAACCAGCAGGATTCCCTTTTACTCCATTCGCTTAAATTACAAATGGACACAATGCTGGCTCTCCGAGGCGCCCTGTCGACGTGCTTGGTGCTGCGGGTGGGAAGCCACAGTGTCCGTGTACATTCTGGAGTCTGGAAGCAGGAAGCAGAAGGTGCCATTTCAAGCAGGATTTTGTCTTCACCGTTCAGTGGCCTGGCCATGCAGGCGGCCTGTCGTCCCCACTGTGATTCGGGGAGGCGAGCCCGTGGCCACGGGGCCTGTCTGTGCCTGGTGTGTGGGTGGCTCCCTCCGCTGTGGCACTGGTGCGGGGAGCCACCCCCTCTCGGCCTCTCTGCGGGGTGGGGCCTCGCCTGCCCCGTTTTCCAGCTGGGTTATGGGTGGGCCCGTGATGTGAGGGCTGGGCTTGGACTCAGCTTTTCCTGCTTTGTGCTCTTTGTCGTGGTGGTGAAGGTGGTCAGAGTCCCCACCCCGTAAAATATGGATGAGCGTCGCTTCTGCCACAGGACCCTAGTTTCTAGCCTCTCCTAGCTTCTGTCAGCCTCCTAAGGCCCCTTGCTGAGCTCTCGCTCTCCAGCCGGGCCAGGCAACAGGTGAGGGCCCTGTCTGTGGCCAGGGTGGACACACTTCCTGCAGAGGATGGTGTCAGGTGCCCTCCTGGGACCCGTGGTGCCCATGGCAGATGGCCCCTGGACCGCATTGGGGTGGGGCGCCAGGGCATCCCCGGGTGGGTTCCAGCCCCTGCCCCCCATCGTCCTGGAGTGATTTGTCTAGAACGATAAGCACTTAAGTGCTCAGGTGACTGAGAAACCTGGCCAGGTCCCGGTTTGCGGGAGAGTGCAGGGGACCGGCTGAGCATCGTGTCTGAGCACCGTCGCGGTCCCCAGACCGTGTATAGAGTGCGTGGGGTGGTGTTTGGGGGTGTCTGCTCTGAGCCGTGCCTTTGTCCTTCCCAGCGGATAGCACGTTCGACAGCGGCCAGGGCTCCACCGTGTACTCGGACTCTCAGAGCAGCCAGCAGAGTGCGGTGCTGGGCTCGCTGGCGGACGCGGCCCCGCCCCCGACTCAGTGCGTGTGCAGTCCCCCGGTGAGCGCGACTGACGGGCCTGTCCTGCCGTACAGCCTGCCCTCGCTGGGGCCCTACCAGCAGCCTGCCGTGGTGAGTCAGCCCCTCCCCCCGTGGCCTGGAGCCCCACGGGCAGCCCAGGCTGCGCTGGCCCGTGGTCAGGCCCCGGGGAGGTCCACCCTGCTGGGACGTTGGGGGCTGTGCGCTGAAAGGCCCACTGGGTGGGAGAACAGGAGCGCGGAGCCCAGACCGCAGAGCTTCGCGGCTGTGGCGGAGCTGGCGTCATTTCTAGTAACGACACCGTTGGTTCCGCTTGCGTGTCTGGCCCCGCTGAGGGGGTCGTACATGTCCCCGGGTAGCTTTCCACTGGTCACCACGCAGCCGTTAAACGTTAGAAGCACGAGGACGGCAGAATCGTGGGGAACGTGTTCAGCCCCGGTTGACAAACCTGTAGGGTAACTTGTAAGATGCGGAGACGGAGCCTGATGGGTGAAGCGGGAACAGCCGGGGGGAGGGGGTGGCAGTTGGGGGGGGGGGGTCCGAGCCGGCCTTTATTCTTCAATTTGATTTGATTTATGCCTGGATGAACCCCATGCTTCACAGCTGCAGAGCTGGGCTGCGGAGGGGGGTCCAGAGGGAGAGTCAGGCCCCTAGGCCCCCTTCCCAAGGGTCCAGCTGCTGCTGCCTGAGCGCCGGTCCCTGTCCTGTGGGCCTGGGCCGTCGGGCAGGCTCAGAAGGTCCCTCTGGAGGGCATTTGTGTCTGCTGAGTCCTGGACTCGTTTCCAGCTCCCGTTTGTGGCTTTGCTGGTTTCATGAGATGAAGTGAAGCAGGATTTTAAACGGCAGCAGAAACTCACGTAGGGAAAGGCGATTGTTACCTACAGTGGTGGCAGTTGGCTCTGGGTGGCCCATCCTGCGTGCAGGGCTCCCCCTGGGCACATGGCTGCGGTTCCTGCACGGTGGCTTCAGGTGAACACGGAGGGGAGCTCATCCCTCCCTGCAGGGCTTTCGTAAAGCATTTACTGTGAAAGGACACAGTGAGTGGTGAGGCCTGGCAGTTCCTGTCACCCAGAAAACCAAAGCACTTTCCGAGTCGGCCTCGGACATCTTTCCTGTGTCCAAACCTGTGCCCCCCACGGCCCCCACCTGCATCTCCCATCTCCGTATTTGAAGTAAATCCCAGAAGAGTGTTTTGCCCATAAAGATGTCAGTCTGTATGTCTGCAGGATCAGGATTCTTGAAAACAGAACCTGACAGCATCATTATACCTAAAAATGAGCAAGTGAGCAGCTCTTCCTTAACAGTGTCAGACACCCAGCGCTCAGACTGTGGACTCTGGGTCTTCTGTGCTGCCACTGGCGGTGGGGACTCTGGCGGCCGACTCACTGAAGATCCCGGCTCTGTCCCACTATCTGTTCTCGCTTTCCCGAACCCTGCTTGTGATGTATTTGCGGGTCTGTGTTTCACACGGTCCCATAGATGAAAAGCAAGCTCATTCATATCTCTCTCCCACTGAATGTCCTGGTTCTGCAAAGCCTTTATGGTGTTCTTTTCTCATGATTGCATAATGTCTCATAGACCTGAAGTTCCAGAACATTCCTTGGTTGGGAGTAGTGGCTGTTCTCAGCTTAGGGACCACCACATCTCACTTCTGCGAAGTTCTGTGCCCAGGCGAGTCCCTAAAAGAGTGAGAGGCATATGGGGAGTGGGTGGCAGGTCACTGTGGCTGTGGAGCTCGAGCTGGGTGGGGGGCCTGAGGGCGGCTGGTGAGTGGCTCTCGGTGCTCTCTGCAGCCTGGACTGCCGGGGAGCTCCATCCCACCCCCAGCCCGCCCTCCGCTCCCGCAGCAGCATTTCCCGGAGCCAGCCATAAGTTTTGCTCCCGTGTCGACGGGCCCGGGCCAGCCTGTGCCTGCTGGTCAGCAGGTGAGTGTGGGCTGCCCTTGCTCACAGCCACCACCCTGGATGTGCAGCGAGCTCTGCTGGCCTGGGTCCCCTCTGCTCCTTCTCTGTGGTTGCCCGGCACCTGGGGTGCAGATGGGAGTGGGGTTTATAGATCCATAGCACTTGGAAGAGCCCCGCTTACACAGAATGATGCCTTCAGATATGCGTGTCTCAGGCTCCGGGCTGGGTGTGTGTGTGCATGTTGGGGTGGGGGAGGCTCAGCAGGATGCTGATCTAAGAGAAGCCTCCCCCCGCATTTCTCTCCAGCCTCCTCCACTGGCCCAGCCGGCGCCCTTGCCCCCTGTCCTGGCCCCACCGCCCGTGGGCCCCCTCCAGCCGGTGCCCCCTCATCTGCCGCCCTACCTAGCTCCGACTTCCCAGGTGGTGGCCCCCGCTCAGCTGAAGCCCCTCCAGATGCCGCCAGCACCTCTGCAGCCTCTGCCTCAGGTGCCTGCTCAGGTAAAACCCCCCTCCCCGCACTGCCCTCCACCTTGCCTTCGCCCCCAGCCTGGCTGGCTGCTCCTTGTATCTGGGCTGTGAGTGCTCACGGGTCCTCGGGATGGGAGCACTCCCTGGGGCTGGGGTGGCCGTGCCCATCTGCCCTGGGCGTCTCTCCCAAGTACGTCCGGGACAGAGAGAGGTTCGGCCCAGGGTCAGGGCCACGGGAGTCAGGGTGTAGCACAAAGCTATGGCCACGGTCTATCATGGAGCCACCCAAGGCTGTGCCCGTTGTGAGTCCAGGGCCTCAAATGACCAGGGACACTGGATAGTACATGGTGCTTGGGTGCTGTTGCCGGGGTTAATGCCATCGACGGCGTACCTGTCACGGGCCCATCACACCACGTCGGTGGGATGCAGAAGGGAACTGTGCCACACATTGAAGGTGTGAGCGTCCCCACGGTTTGCGGAAGCCCATGGGAGAGTCTTGTCACCTGGTCTTGTCCTCAACACAGTCACCGTCTAGTTAAGCTCCTGTTCCCTTTCTGGCGGTAACAGTGTTGAGTGGCTTTTCCGATAGGTAGAAGTTGGCTTGCAGACTTTTGTTGCTTGATAATCGCGGGAAGACTGGCATTATGTGACGATGCTCACATGTTGGCCACTGAAAAGGCTTTAAAGAGAGAATCCGCCGAAATGTGTTAAGTGCTGATTCCAGGAGGCCAGATAGCGGGTGTCTCCAGGATGGAAGACCAGATGCGGAAGGTTCCAGAGCACCGCTGTGGGGCACGGCCCCAGCACGTGGGGGGTCTTGGATATGCTTTCCCCTGAGACAGCCCTCCAGAGTTTGGTCTCCCTGTGAGTGTGTTCAGACTGGGGGGTGTTAGACAAAGTAATTTCGGATCTTGGGGGCCAGTCTGGTGGTGTGGACGGTGCTGGCTCTCGAAGGAAAACGTGTGGAAGCTGCGAAGCCCGGAGTCACTGCTCCAAGCCCTCGAGTCTGAGCTGCCAGCCGGTTCCTTTCTGCAGCAGCTGCCTGGAAGTGCCGGGGCTGGTGGTGGGGGCGTCAGGCGGGTGCGGG